GAGTGAAACTATGTGTAGCCCACACCATTTCACAATAAATTCCACACAGAACAGGAACTGGAATATAAGAACATCCTTAAATGCACCAGAGGAATACAATAAACATTCTTACAATACCTATGTGAAAAAAACTTTCCTAACAGTGACTCAAAATAACAAACTGTGCAATGAATTTCACTACACATTAATCAACTTTCACAAAGCAGAACACAAGATCAAACACAAATGACAAACTGGGAAATATTATTTGTAACATATGACTGAGAAGAGTTTTTAGGAGCCCTAATACACTGAGCAAGATGCACAACTTTAACTTGATAGAAAAGGGCAAAAGAACAGACAGTGCACAGAGAAAAGCAAAAGGCCTTTGGATGTGGAAAGATGCTTAATCTTGCTCACCAGAACAATGCAAATAAGTTTACTCAGTCCTAACCAGTTTGGCTCAGTGGACAGAGCAGCGGCCGGAGGACTGAAGGGTCCTGGTTTGATTTTGGTCAAAGGCATGTACTTCAGTTAAAGGCTCGATCCTTGGCCCTAGTGGGGACATATGCAGGAGGCAACCAATTGATGTCTCTCACATCAATGTTTCTCTCTGTCTCTACCCATCCCTTTCTCTCTAAAAATCAATGGAAAATATCCTTGGGTGAAGACTGCCAACAACAAAAAAGTTTACTCCGCTGCCTTTCAGCCTGAAACATTCAAATACTGGCTGGGCCTGGCTTGGCCACGGGGAAGGAATGGAGTGCAAGGGTACAGCCTAGAGGAAGGGGACCTAGCTGTTATGGCAAAATCACATCTGCTGCTACTGCTGACCCATTACCTTCTTGGAAACCAACCCTGAGATATACTAGGTAAAATAGGAAATGGCATGTGCACAAGGTTTTCCTGTGACATGATTCATAACACAGAATTTGGGAAGCTACTCAAATGCCCATCAATGGGAATGCCCCAATAATTCCCTGGGCACCACATCCCTTGGTTGTATAAAGAAGCGAGGAAGGTCGCTATGTGCTAATATGCAGACACCTCCAAAAATATGCAGGAAAAACAGGATGTAGGACAGAGTCTATGGCCAGCTACCTTTTGCTCCTATTCTCCAACCCAAATAGGAAGGCTACACCAAAGACTAATAATGTCACCCAGGCCTGGCGGGTGTGGCTCAATGGTTGAGCATTGACCTGTGAACCAGGAGGTCACTGGTTCAATTCGGGTCTGGGCACATTCCTGGGTTGTGGGCTTGATTCCCAGTAGGGGGCGTGCAGGAGGCAGCTGATTAAACATTGTCTCTCATCATTGATGTTTCTATCTCTCTCTCCCTTCTCTGAAAAAATAAAAAAAATAAAATAAAAATAGCCGAAACCGGTTTGGCTCAGTGGATAGAGCATTGGCCTGCGGACTGAAGGGGCCCAGGTTTGATTCCGGTCAAGGGCATGTACCTGGGTTGTGGGCACATCCCCAGTGGGAGATGTGCAGGAGGCGGCTAATCGATGTTTCTCTCTCATCGATGTTTCTAACTCTCCCTCTCCCTTCTTCTCTGTAAAAAATCAATAAGATATATTTAAAAAAATAAATAAATAAAAGCCACCAAGCAGGTAGGGTGGGAGAAGGACGAAGAGTCTGGCTCTGCATGTACGTACCTGATCACACAGCTTTGACTGTGCAATCATCAAATGTTTAAGTTACTTTTTAAAAAATGTAACTTAAAATTTTTTTAAAAATTTTAGAGAGAGGGAGGGAGAGGGAGGAGGAGAGAAGAGAGAGAGAGACATGGATCAGTTGCCTCCCACACACACCCTGACTGGGCATTGAACCCACAACCTGGGTATGTGCCCTGACCTGGTGACCTTTCAGTGCATGGGATGCTGCTCAACCAACTGAGCCACACCAGCCAGGGCTAAGTAACTTTTAAACATGGAAAATAAATAAAAGAAAATGAACCCAAGTACTTAATCAGGATGATAGCCTAACATAAACAGAGAGAAAAATGACTCCAAGTGACTGCAAAATCCACAACCTTTCACCTTAATTAGAAGGCTCAGTAACTCAAGAAACTTCCCACTACAAATGTCAAGAATTCTCAGACAAACAACAGACTTTGGGTCTGTGGAAAGACATGGTTAAGGTCAGTCCACACGTCTCTGTTAGAAATCAGGAAGTGAAAGAAGGTGGATGGTCCTGGCAGAAAACTGCAAGAAGCCAACAGGGAGGAATCCAACCACTGGCCGAAGATGAGGCAATTTCAGCCTAAAGAACTAATAAACACATCAAAAGTATTGCCCTGGTCTGTATGACTCGGTTGAGTGTGTCCTCCTGTGCACCAAAAAAGTTGCAGGTTTAATTCTAGGTCACGGCACATGCCTGGGTTGTGGGTTCAAACCCTAGTAGGGGGCATGCAGGTGGGAGCCTATCGATGTTTCCCTTTCACATTGATGTTTCTTTCTCTTTCTATTGATTTCTCTCTCGTTCCCTTCCTCCCTCGCTAAAATCAATAAAAAATTCTTTTAAAAATCCTAATGACACTTAAGAAGAATTAATGATCACCAGTGAAGATGTGAGAGGGCCAATTCAGTCTAAAAATTAGGGGGAAGGAAAGGGACCTGCCCTTCCCACTCCAACAGCAGAGAAGCTCTTCACAGAGTACCTGCAGAGGTGGATGGGGATGGGATGAGAAAGCCATCTCCCTGATGGAGCCAGGCAGCCACCAGCAATGCATGAGGCAAGGACAGCACAGATGGATCAGGAACTTTATAATGGATGAATTTGGCTGAAGACACCTTAGTCTACGGATCAATCTTGGACTCAACACCAAGTACACAGCACCACCCACAAGTTTTCTTGCCAAAAAAACAAGTTGAATGTGAAAATAACCAAGTCCCAAGGCCTAACCACGAGTGTACAGAAAATAATAATGGATAGTGGAGCAAACCAGGCACCAACTTGTCCCCCCCGCCCCACCCCCACCCCACAAAAACCCAAGGGCATTAAGAAAAGGAGGGAGACGCACTGCTGAAGAATGAAAGGACTCAAGGCCTGACAAGCACACAGCAGGCCATGAGTGGACAGTTATTTGAACACAATGATGAGGGAAGTCCATATATGCAGACTCAGTGGAATATGGGTATGTTAAGAAATTACTATTAATAAGTGAGTTAAAAGCAAAGTGGTTATATAAAAAACACACAAAAGATTGAGGGGCACCACACTGTATTACTTAATTGGGGGGAGGGCAGGAGGTAATGAAATGGGCCAGGGACAAATGCTTTTCATTGTCCCCTCTCCCACCCAGTATTCAATTGAAAATATTCAAATATTCACCAATTAGCAAGTAACAGCAAAAGTCAGAGGATACTACTCACCAGCCACAACTGGAAGCAATTTACACACAACATTTCCTACTTCCTGCACTTAATGATTTAACTCCCTGAATCTAGTGGGGTTAGGGACTGTCCCAAGGCTCCATGTGGCCAAGTCAGTGCTCATCCTTCTGCTAACAAGCTAAGCCCCTGGCCTCTGTCCCATGGCCCCCCCTGCATCAGACTCCCATCTTCTCACCACGTGTTCTAGAATGGTCTCCCCTGTGAGCTCATGGCTCAACAGCAGGTGGGAAGGCCTCTAGTTCTAAATAAACCGACAAAGGCTCTACCTGTCATGAGACTGACAATTCTCCACGCAGAGTCTTGGTCTTTGAGCGGCTCTCCTCAGGGAGAAATGCACTGCAGGTTACTTATTGCAATGTTTTTCCAAATAAGTCCTCATTCTGGTATTAGACTGTTCAGAACTATGAAACTGGTTTAAAACAAACTTTGAACTTGTAACCTCTCAAGTCTGGGCCTGAAAATGTGTACTTACAATGTTACTTGCTGATCCTGTGCCTTTTTTGCACTTGGAACTGCCCATCTACAACATGCCCCTGCTACGCCATCAGCTTCTTGTAAATGTCTCAAACTCTGGGAAACCCTTGAACTTTCAGTTCACTTACCCCAGTTCTATTACTGAATTAGTGGCGTTTCACTAAAAATGCCAGGAGGCTCCAAATGTTGCTGTCCCACCTCTGAACTATCAACCTGCTCCAGTGGTGGGAGAGCCTGAAGAAGTTCGAGTGTGCCCACTCGGGAGGACCAGGCCAGAGGACACTCACCTGGGTCTGCAGCCTAGCAACAATATCCTTCCGGGCTTTCATGACGGCGTCCAGCTTCCCAGAGACCATAATGGAGAGGCCCTGGTCTTTGGCAAGAGACAGCTCCAGGTGAGCTCCTGTCCTCTGCATGATCTCAAGGCAGATTTTTGCTTGTTCACCTTCTCCAAACTGGTTCATGTCCTTGTATTTTCTCTCCTCCAGGGGTACATGGAACACCTGCTCAGAAAAGGACCAATGGGGAAGTTGAGACAGCAAGAAGAGAAGCAAGGATATTTAAATGTCTAGGCATGGAATATTGGAGTCTGTCCATTAAGTGCCACTCCTCTACCCACTGAGGGAAGGCCCAGAGAGCAGTGAAGAGATAAGCAGGTGCCGAAGGTAATGAAGGCCGACCTTCTAGTGAAGAAGCAACCACCCCCAACACAGTGAGCGCAGTGAAGGAAACAGACAGAGTTGAGAGGCTGGGCAGGGCAGAGGTAAGGGAGGTTCTGAGGATGTCCAGGAAGGACCCTCCTGAAGAGTCAAGACACAGCCGGCTCTGCTGGGAGGTAAGGACGAGTGGAAGAGAGAGGGCAAAGGCTTAACAAAGTCAGGTGTGAGAACAATCTGAGCGGCAAAAAGGAAGGGGCCAGACCCCTCAAGCCACCTTGCATTGAGATGGTGTCAGCAGAAGGAGACATCTGACTGCCAACTCGGGACCCCCAGCTGCTCTGTGGAGATGGGACTGAACATGACACACTAAGCTGCGCGTTAAAAAGATTGGGAGAGCCCTAGCTGATTTGGCTCAGTGCATAGAGCGTTGGCCTGTGGACCAAAGGGTCCTGGGTTTGATTCTGGTCAAAGGGCATGTACCTCGGTTGCAGGCTCCTTCCCAGCCTGGGCCCTGGTTGGGGCTCATGCAGGAGGCAACCAATTGATGTCTCTCACAAAGAATAATGACTAAATACAAAAAAAAGAAAAGAAAAAGATTGGGAGACACCTATTGAAAGAAGATGATCAGATGCAGCTAGTTATGAGTCTGGATTTGGAGAGGTGCCCTCTCAGCACAGAGGTGGACAGGTGGCAATTACCAACTGTGACCCCACATGAGTTCACAGACAGAAGGCAGAGGAGATGACTGCTTCAAGACAACAGGACAGGTCTTATTGGAGGTACTGATGGGGAAGGGTGAAAGGCAGGGGCAGTTTCGGGAGTTGGGAGCAGAGACGGAATTGCAGTAGGCTGAAGAACAGAAGGAGACCCATTCCTTCTGGGTGCTGGGGACATAGGTTAGCATGAGGGCAGTGAACTCCATGGAGCAGCCCTCCATGGAGCAGGGGTGGGGATGGGCTAAACCTGAAGGCCTATTCCCTCTGCACCTCCCCAAGCACTCTAATCAGATACTCCTTCTTCCTCCTGGGAAGAGCAGGTAAAGAAAGAGTGGCATTCCTACCTGAGTGATGACAGAAGCCTTGATGGGCCGGATCTTGTTACCCCAGGCGCCTGCAGGTTCCTGGGCGCTTTCCAAGCAAGCTGCTTTCTCAGGGAGTGGGGGGAAGGCATCCTTGTAGGTTGGAGGGTCACTCTCTTCTTCTGAATTTAAAGTGGCAACTGGACCAGCCAACACAGATTAAGAGGAAGCACATTGTTTTCAGTATCAAAAGAAAAAACACTTGGGAGGTTTTAATGTCAAAAAGAGAACACTAATTGCTCAAGTGACAGTGACCTGTCTCATTCAGTGATGGGAAAGGGCCCCAGGAGTCGCCAGGCTCAGCACCCCCAGGTCCAACACGTGAACTGTAGAGGCCAAGTTGATGTGAACTTGATGGCAAGACCCCTGCCCTGGAAGCTTCCCTGTGAAGGATCAGCTCAGACACCGGGCACCCCACTCTTCCCGTGATGAGGTGAGCCCCTTGAAGGCAGGCCTTGCCCTCACAGTCTTCTAATCCTGTATTTTTTTTTTTAATCATAATTAGGGCAATGCCTGGCACAGAGCTGGCCCTCAAATTTGCAGAATAAAGTAACGCTGCTGCCAGGTATGGCCTTTCATGTACAACGTTGACAAGAACTCCAGCAGGGACTCCTCACCCTTCTCAGGGAGCAGCAAGCCCTGGAAATCAGGGCCCCTCATCATTACCCACTTCCATCCTCCATCCTCACCATTCACACTCCATGAAAGCGGGAGTGTGGCTATTTGGAATCAGCCTATATGCAAGGCCAAGCACAGCGTCTGGCAATGGGAGGGCCTGATAAAACTTGCTGTGGATGGTGTGCACAGAGCAGTGAGATAACCTTTGGGTTCACACAGGCCTACATCCAACTGTGGGTTCACCACTTCTGTCCATGTGGCTAAGCTATACCCAAACACCAATAAAGACACAGTGCTTGGGTTCTGTCACTACTTTGCATCTGTCACTCATCTAGAAAGGGATATGATATGTACTCCATAGGGCTGCTGGGTCATTTAGAAAGACCCAGCACTACAGGCACTCAGAATCAAAGCGAGGAAGTGTCCAGGTCTCCACAACCCAGAGAGGATCACTTGAAAGGTGGCACAGGTGACTGACAAAATGAATTTTTAATTTTAATTACTTTAACTTAAGAACCAATATCCGATTCATTTATAGAAAACTTAAGAATGTTTGGAACAACTTGGAATAGAATAGCCTACTCTTTCAAATGAAAATTTTATAAAATCAAATACAGATGAAGGGTTTTAGATAAACATTTGGTGTGCAAATCAAGCTATCCTGATGTTGTAAATGGAGACCAGATTCTGAAGAAAATAATGTCAAGTATCATTTTTTCTTTCTACATTAAGAGATATTGAAATAACAATGTTTTAGACATATTCCTCCAGATGAGTGTTCTCGGTCATGGCCAGCTGCTTTAAGGAACTGAGAAGCCAGGGAGGGCCCAGCCTTCACCCCCCTGGTGGGCTCCTGACAGTGTTCTGGGGTGCTCCACAGCCCAGATTTAGTTCAACACAACTGGGAACAGCAATTTTGAAAAAAGAATCATATTAATTAACAATGATCAAATTCATTGGCTTTCCAGAAAGTTGTCCACATTTTAAATCTCATTGAGTCCAGATTCACCTATTACTCCTGGCTAGTTCCACCCTGCACAGAAAGGTAGTGCAAAACCAAGTGCACAAGACAGGTGGGCCCTGGCCCTACCCCAAAACTAGTGTCAAATGCACTTCTACAGATTTCAAAAGGGCTTGGAGGGAACGCTGTCTGAAAAGTTAAGAGTTTGTACAAAGCTGTCACCTTTGATCTGTTGCGGAACCAGCCCACTTCGGTGTTCAGCAAAGCTCTCTTGGGTCAAAACTGCAACCGAGCTCATGGTTGATGGGGTGCCCACACACAGTCCTGGTGAGGCACTGGAGTGGGGAATGAGGAGAGAGAAGGAAGTCAGGCATAGACAGCTCTCTATATCCACGAGACTGTAAAGCTTTCAACCAAGAATCAATTCTCTTTTACTAACCAACTATACCTTACTTTCCTCACTTACAACCTCTAATGTAAGTAAGGTGATACCCAAACTCTCACCAAGTGAAGAAAAGAAAAATGCAAATAAAGGAGGGTCCTTGGACAACTGTCCCTTCAAAAGTTGCTCTGTAGTTGAGCAGATGGAGGCTCTGGCTGAGAGGGATCAACACCAGAAAGCCAGGGCTCACAGATACAGTCTGCACTCCAACTACTAGGGCCAACTAGAACCCACCACGCTGTGACCCAGCAACACAGATCAACATCTGGAAGGTTCTCCGAACAGCGGTCTCAGTTATGCTGTCTCTCTATTCACCAAGTTACCTCCTGATGCTTATAATACAATGTACCACATGACAGTTGCTACCAAAAAGCCAATCAAGCAGCAGAGGCAAGGCTCTCATCCAGGGCTCAGTCACCTGAACAGCACTGCAATGCTAAGGGGGCTGGCTGGGGGGCGGGAAGAGCAGCCTTACAGCACTCTGTGGCAACAATGTAGTAGCAAAAGGCAGCAAGGACTGCCCAGATGGGCTAAGTGCCTCTGACATATGCTGATTGGTTATTCTCCAACATCCTATCGCCCAGGTGTGGGAGGGGACTTGCAGCAGGTAGAACCTGGTACAGGGGCACCTCAATTAGGGCAGGAACTGGAACCCACTCCCAAGCCACAGTACTCAGTGGGATTCCATGGGACTCCAGCTCTCAAAGCCATGGCTCCTTTATTTGGAAAACAGGGCTTATAAGACACCGAGGCCAGGGATGTTAGCTTCTTCCCCCAACTCTAGGTGAGCCCCATGCTAATATAATGAGGAAGAACCCCCCTCTTCACACAATTATGTACCAAGTGTCTTATACTACCTTGGCAAAAAAAAGTATAAGAAGGCCAAGTAATTTAATTAGAAGAGTGAGTTTTTACATAACTTTAATAATTCAGACCTCTCCCCAAGTTCAAGAAAATTAAGCTCAGCATTAAAGAGAAGCAATATGCAAACTCAGATAATCCTGAGCAAACATAATTCACATTTAAGAAAAAAGATTAAAATGGATGGATGCCAGACGATACATCTGAAGGGCACACGTGTACACACTGCTCAGGCAGGACCTGATTCTCTCTCAAGAACCACTAGAAACTTAAGGATGAAATGTACTGGAAGGAAGTATACACACAGCCCAAGGACAAGAAGCATTCAGACAGGACAAACTTACCAGCAAAACGGTCAGTAGCCAGAAAGTCCGTCCTGAGGCCACCTCTGTCAGCCTGCCAGCTTTTGCTGGTATGGGACAGGAAGGAAGAGGGAACAGGAGAAAACCAGAGAAAAGTTACTTATCTGCTCTGTACAAACCAGACCCTTTTACCTCCCAACCAAAAAAAGTCAAAATAGTATTTAAACTTTCCCAATATTTAGGCATTTTTCTTGGGGGAAAAAAGGAAGCTCTGCTCTTAGACCATTAGCTCCAAACAAAACATACTGTAGTAAAACCTGAACCATCTTTTAGAGCAGTGGTCGCCAACCTTTTGGACCTCACGGACCACCAGTTGGCGACCGCTGTATTAGAGGACAAGTTTTCCAGGGACCTTGAGGGAGTGATCCCTTAAAAGCCAAAACTTTTTTAAAGTGTAACCATTTTGAAGTAAAATCCTCACAAAATTGATGGTTTGTTCTCCGGCATGGTTATGTACCTTTTCCCTATACTCCTCCTAATCTCTGAATACTGAGCCAGATGAAAAAAAGGTTCTGATATTATGCTATGACATAGAATGTGGACCTTGGGGCCCTCTGAACTTTTAAGGGTAACTGGGAGTTACTGTCTTTAAAAGTCCTTTGCTCCCTTCTAATCCACGAGGTTTTAGAAACCAGGCCAGGAAGCAGCAGGGTTGGAAGGAACTTTGCAAGGCCATCTGGGGAGAGTCAAGAACTCCTCTATGAATTAAGAGGGTATGGGTCATCCTGCCTTGGGGGACTTTGGGATAGTGAGGCTGCCAGGTCAGTTACTGCCACTTTAGGCAAAATACCATATGCTGGACAAGGTACGATAAGCCAGACTAAATAACAAAGGTCAGGCACGGGTCATTAGTGGGAGAATCAACAACAGTAACCTAATTGAAGAATAATGCCCCCATTAATATGCACCGCTCAGGAGCTAGGAAGACAGCTCATGCAGCAGACTAGATTTAAAGGGGTCTCATCGTCCCAAATGGGACAGACCAGTGGCACTTCAAGATTTTAGAAATCCCTGAATGCAGGGCTTGGGCAACCACTTGGGGAAAGTTCTATGACCCATAGGCCAGAGCCTCTGTGGGGCCCCAGGCCCACCCTACACACAGATGCACCCTGAGACCAAGGAAGAAAGTGGAGACAAACTGACTAAGACTATTTACTTAGGAATTTGTCTCCAACTAATTCTAATCTGCAAGTTTTAAAGATTACGGTGAGGAATAAAGAAAGCCTTTCCATTAAGTCATAGTATCAGAGCAGCACATCCACCCAGGTCTGACAGGAAGGGCAAGCACTCTGTGGGATTCCCAGTGTACATGTAGCCAGTCCAGAAGAAAGATGGAGGTGTTCCAGGTCCAAACACTGAAAATGAAGCCAGGACCCTGGAGTCCAACTGACCCTCCTTTCTCAGAATTCCCACTGCAGCTGCACACACTCTTGCCAGGTGACCTTCCACCTGAACAACATCCCACCCGGGGTTGTCCCAGGCACCAACATAAATTCTTAAGATATACACACATCCACTTCTCTTTTAAAAAATACGTTTTTATTGATTTTTAGAGAGAGAGGAAGGGAGAGGGATAGAGAGAGAAACATTGATGAGAAACATCTTTGACGGGCTGCCTCCTGTACGCTCCCTACTGGGGATCGAGCCTGCAACCTGGGCATGTGCCCGACCGGAAATTGAACAGTGAGTGACCTGTTGGTTCCTGGGTTGATGCTCAACCACTGAGCCACACTGGGTGGGCAACATCCATCTCTGAACAAGTCAGGTTCACACACATAACCATAACAATAGCCACTCCCTCTCCTCTGTGCTCCCACCGACTAGTCTTCCATCTTTTCTGGACAAGGCGTCTTCATGTCCCAGTGACAGGCACACAACAAGCCCATGGAGCTCAGTCACTATCCATGTCCACTCCAGCCACAGATCTGTGACCAGCCAATCCCCACTCTGCACTTGGTATCACACACAAAATGGGACAAATTCCTGAGGATCTCTTCTGATGTTACTCATACACCTTTCAAAAGTCAACTCCAGCTAGCCCTTCTATTGGACTCAAGAAAGAAGCACTGCTGCAACAGATCCTAATGTGCTGCAGTCTCTAACGCCCCCACATGTGCACAGGCCCTCAGGCAGCTGAGAACAGAGTGGACCTCCAGAAAACTCCAGACTGGTCTGGCAGGACACACTAGGTCTCCCATCTTCAGATTTCAAATGGCAGTTTGAATCTGAAATGTCACAGCTGAACAGATTATGTGAATGGATTTAAATTAAGCAATAGATTTAACACCTAAGGTTCTGATATCATCAAATAAGGCTATCATTTTTCTTCTAAATTTCTCAAAACTCCCACCTTTAAAGATTCCACTTTAAGTATGTATCTAATGACTCCCATGTAAATTAGATCTCAGCCCCACCTGAGGCTCTGAGGTAAAGCCTTACAAAAGGCCAGTACCAACCTTACCCACTGGCTCCAGCTGCGCCTTCACAGACAACCCCCAACAGACTTACTCCTGTTCACAAATGTCTTTTCCACCTCACAAGTGTGAACACGGCTGCAGGTGGTCTCCACTCTAGCTCCTTCACTTGCTATCTTAAGTTCCCAGGAGACCTTAGACAGGCCCAAAGAACAGAGACCAGACATCTACTATCACAATTTCTCAGTTAATCTAATAATGGTGCTCAAATCAGGATTGAAAGGGACCTTAGACATTACTCTATTGCAGTCTTTGAACACCACCAGAGACAGGAACCACATGGCCTTTCAATGGAGCCACACTCCACTTCTGCTCCACTGTGTAGCTGTCAGAACAGTCTGCCTTATGCTGTGCTAAACCTACAACCTCTCTCCCCGTTCTGGCCAGAGAACAAGCCCACTCTTCCCTACTACACTCCAGATGTGTGAGGCTGTGCCCCTACTTCAGTTGTTCCCAAGACGGCCCCAATCCCTTCATTACTGTGGTGGCTCTCAACTACTTTCCCTGCACTAAGCATTCAGGTCCACCCATACAAATCTCAAACTATTCTCAACCTGGACTTCGAGTGTTGTTCCTCAGGGTAAATGTCCAGAGCAAAAAAAAAAGTCACATCTCAAATGATAAGTATGCAGCAAACAGAACTAGAAAAGGAGGGTGGGTGAAGCCCAGAATCTTCTCTTCCTCTCAGGGAACATCAAGCGCTCTTGACCCCCCCACGTGGGAGAAATGTATAGATTACACCTGAAACTTGTTTTTAAAAAGCACACTAACAGGAAAATCTTTAAGAATTGTACTTTTTTGCTTTTAAAAACAAAGCATAAGTTGATTCCTTGTGATGTTTTGCCAATTACATATTCAAAAGGATAAATCTTTGCAAAAACTCACAGTAACAGTCCAGAAAGAATGTTACCTCCAACTAATGATAATCTCGCACTTTACATAGAGATAGGACTGAGTATGGAGAGTATCAAAACCTACAGCTGAAACCCAGGGCTTCTCCCCTCTTCTTCCAAAATTAAAATTTACTTCCATCCCACAGCAAACTTGCAAGGGAAGTTTTTTAAAGTATTTCTCAAGATCCATAAACCAAACTTGATAAACATAATATCCCCACAGGCCGAAAAAATCAGCAAGCCTGTTTCAGATCAACCGGAGGAGCAGGGAGCAGAGGCGGGCATGCGTGTGTTCCGCCAAGTTCTGGAAGTCTGCACCATCCCGCAGGAGGAACTTTCGCAGATGCCACCTCAGCACGGCCCTCCCACAGGCCACGCGAGCCCGCGGGCGGGGACAGGCTTAAAGGGGCAGGAGCACGCTCGGCCTCCTCGCCTTCCATCCAAATTCGGTATTTTTCCATAATGTATTTTTCGTTCGGGACCCTGGGGCACATCCAAGTTGCACTCCAGCCCGAGGAGAGCGCAGGCCCAGCCCTGACCACGTAGGCGGGTGGGCTGGCGGCAGGTGAAGGTGCAACTGGACTAGCAGGCCCCTCCCGCTGTCCCAGGCACCGGCTACCCTGCGGGACAGACTTCTGTGAACCAGCCCCCCTCTTGGGGGAGGAGCGCTCCTCTTGTGGGGGGTGGGAGGGGGAATAAGGGGCACGGCCCAGACGCCCACGTCACCGACCTGGGCCCAGGTCGGCCGCACCTCACCCTGCACCCGGGTTGTGGGGGTGGGTAGTGCAGAGGGAATACGACCCTGTTTAGGGGTAGAGGGTTGGGAGGGGCGCTCTCACCTCGGCACGGGCGAGGCCGGCGGACGCTGGACTCGGGAAAGTTTCTTACTCTTCCCTGGCCAACGCCGCGGCCCATGCGCAATGGTGAC